ACATTTTTGTCATTTTCTTTTTTTAACCCTACCAACATCATATGTACTTACAAAACTAAGTTTATTTGCTGATTACAGAAAAAAACTTACAGACAAATTTCTTACAAGCCAGAGACTAATCAAAGTGCAAACACTGCATGAATACAGAGAAAGTAGGATGCTTAGAACCCAAAATGAATGGCCTCTTCTCTATGAAGCAAGTACATGAATTGTGAAAATACTGTGGCTGTGATTCTTACACAGTACTTTAAGTCATTACGTTTTGTCAAGTTATCCGAGGGTAATAAATGGCCATGGACCCCAAGAAATGAGATTGGCGGTTTATTTTGATCAAGGACGTGTCAAATTTGCTGGGGTTGTTTGATAAGTAGAATCATTTTTCAGGCAATGAGTCTCAACAGTTCAAAGATCTTTGCCTTTAGTTTATACATAGATTTTCTGGTAGAGACTTTTTTCTTACCGATTTGATGAGTTGTTTCATCCAGTAGCTGTTTATATTCTTCGGTACTCTTCAGATTTATACAACAATTAAACACACAATATCTAGGCTGAAGATGTCTTGACTGCCTTTTACAACAGAAGTATACTATGACGCAAACTGTGAACAGCGCCAAAATAGATATGGCCACAATAACGATTATTATAATCTTCACTAGTTTTGCGAAGTTCATTCCAAAACAGCTTGAAGCCATTTGCAAATTGGAATCGACAGTGTTGAAGTCAGTGGAGACAGTTCCAAATTCCTCGAATGATTTGGTGATGGTGGTTATAACAGTATCTGAATTATTGCTGAGAAGAGTGGCGATTTTTTCGTTTGCCAGTTTAGTGGTATTTCCTTCACTGACTCCTTGCAGGACCTGCGGAACATCTCGTGTTACTCTCGTTCTTTTCAAAATGTTCTTCAATGCCAATTTCTTTGCGTTGCCTGAATTTTTACTGCTAGAAACACCTAGAAGTGGCGCTGGGTTTGGAGGATTTATTATCGTCGCAAACCTTTGAGAATCTATCTCCAATTTTTGAATATCATTTCCCTCATTTTCTATTTCTTGAGTACAGTTTGTTCTTAAGCATTGCCTGAGATAAAAGCACTCCACCTCAGCAAAGCGCTTCGGCGCACAACACGACGAACACTGTTTACAAGTGTCCACTGTGGGGCTCCATTGGAAGGTACCACGAGGACAGGTCCCACATTGTGCATTTTTGCTCGATGTACATGAGCTAACGGTTACTCTTGGACCGCATGTCAGACACAGTTTACAAATACCTCTTCCGCTAATGTCTTTAAAGGTTCCCGAGGGGCAAACGGTACAATTTATAAATGCATCTGGCTGTACTTTGCTGCCACATGGTGGGGTAAGTTGTTGTCCTGGGGGACAGTCTGGGCATTCTTTGCATCCGGTTATCGAATTATGTCCTCCAAGAATCTGGTATGATGATCTTGTGCATGTTTCGCTTGGGTTGTCGTTAGTTTGGGGTATGTTCCAAATAGTATACAGCTGTTTCAGAAGCAAAATAAAATATTAAGTAATGCAAGCACCCTTTCATCAATTAATTGAACCTTTCCATCGATGTTATCTACGGTAATCGGAATTCGTTATATAAGTTTCGCAATATAATCAGGTGACTCTGAGAATGTTTATTGGCTTTACCAAATAGGGTAGTTCGCGTGACTACCACGGGTTAAGAACATTGAGCGAATTGCAGTTCCTTCACAAATCCCTAATTGCTGCTACTTTTGAATTGCTCTACGAGTTCAAAGTTTTCCTTATGATGAGTTGCACGTTATCGCATATTCTACCGAGAGTGCTCGCATATGAATACTGCCATTTCACGTCAGCATACCTTTAGCATTTAGATGCTAGAGGCGATTTGTTTTGCTGTAGTTGGCCTTAAAATCAGGCAACAAACCTGACACAAAGGTCTCTATAATTCATTGCGATCAGCCGCAAACGAAATTAATATAACTTAGAGAGCGAAAACAGACCACAAGTTGTCACGTAGCGGCGAGTAAATCTTAATAATTCTCTTAGGAACCGTGCTTGGAATCAAATATATCTAAATAAAAAGTGGCGTTATACTTGAAGTTACTTGACTGCATGTAATTGCTTTCTAGACTTAAATTAATTTCGTACATTAGTTTACTAGTTCTTCCGCTTACTTTATTCAAACATATAGTCAAAGAAAGACAATTGAACTGACACTTACAAAGCAAATTATGAATGTAACAAAGATGATCCAAATAAATCTAAGGATCTTTGTGCGCTCCCGAACAGACAGCTCCATGGCTTCTCTCATCAAATAAGCGAGGGAATCTGTAAACTCCATCCTAACTGAACTTGTGGGGAGTACCGAAGCCTGAATTGAGAGAAGAAAGACAGCATTAAAAACCCAACGTTGTAAAATCAATTTATTTTCAGTCTAAACGGATGAGTAGCGTCGGAAGTGAATATGCCGGAATTTAGAGCTCGTATTACGAATCTGTAGAGGAACACAAGTAACACAATTGATTTTCTCATTCTTTGAGTAGTCTTCCTGGTCTTAGTCATTCACAAGTCGTATCATTATAATATATACATCTTGTTTTACAACATTATTGGTGTGAATGCGGTACGTCAAGCAATGTATAGTGCGACTTCCTAATGTTTACCTAGCGTTAAATAGTTGAGGTATGCTAATTGATGTTCTCGTCGCTTTACCCCTCCTTAAGCCCTTATATGAATTTTCACATCTCATGAATCTACAGCTTGTTACAAGCCCCTATGAATAAATTACTTTCACGTTTTGTATAATTCAATGTTCCAACAAGTAACGTGTAGTAACTGTGGAAATTTGTGATGTCCTTTAGCTTTAAAGAATATCGAAAGCCTCCCTAAGCTTGCTGTCGTAAATCAGAATATCAAGCAGTACAGGTCACAGATCTCATTTAACAGCGATACTGCACTTTAGTTATAAGGCATAGTACCTTACGATGTCTTCTCATGCTTGCTCTGAACTAACCAGATCGACTCCTGATACCTCTGGCATGAAGATGTAACTTTCTTCCGATTATTTTGCGCAGAGCTTGGTAAAGAAAGAATCGAAATTAGCTAGTACCAGTTCCCATGGTTCCGAGATCGAATTGATAAATTTCCCTTTCCGATTATGTAAACGGTCGGGATTTATATTCATATGTTTTTTTGTTGACTCTTAAGTTTTGTTTAGGCTAAAAATTCGCCGGCAATCTTCTTGGTAACTTGAAATCCTGCGATTTTTGCGCATTTGTGTAACGCGGTCCCAAGTTTTTTTGAGAGTGGTTTTTGTCTGAGATCTTTACTCGAGATGCTAAAAGAATAAATATCTTGAAACCATGGCGGAAGTACAGAATTAATCGTTTTTGCTCACGTGAAAGACAGTTACACTTGTTCTACCCAACAATTCAAGAGTTTTCTCTAGTCCGGCGCAAAACTAATCAGCCAGTAGAGTCATTAGCTACATCTGGCATTCCTTCACCTCGTTCTTTTATTCACTTTTTTTCGAAAGAGAAATCATCAATGTTATAAATCTGACTTTAATCAAAAATGTTTTTGTGTATGAAAATAACTCGGAGACAGAATCTCTCTTCAAATCTAAATCCTAAAACTTAACTGGCTCAGTTTTCCTTGGCGGAAATGCTCCACTTTTATAAATATTTGTTGACCATACCCAACGCTGCAAATTCTCGTGCAAGTTTATATCGAAGACAGCACTGGAAACTGAACAACCCACTTAATGAACAGCTAGCTGTTTGCAGCATTTTTTTCTCATAAGTTACAAAAAAACACTTGAACCTGTATCAAGCAGCTATACACGAGGAATGGCGGGTTGACCGTTTAATGCAGTTTGACCAGCAAATAACTTGCGTGACATTGGTGCGTACTATTTGTCCTGACAGTATTAATTAGGAAGAAAGATAATCTGCAATACATTGAGGGCATTTCAACTCAAAGCACTAATATTCATTCCGGGAGATAAACATAGAATGAATTTGACTCGAAAGATTACTCTTAGTTTTATTCGAGTGGTTCCACTTTAAGTAGTCATTTAATATAGATAGGCCGGGAGAACAATACAAACAAACCTTTGGGACTTAGTCAAGGATAAGCACGACCGCTTAATAAAGGTGTGACCGCTTAACAGAGATGAAAATTACTTTGCTTAAGGGAAAAAAATTCGGGATTTCGACAACCGACCGCTTAATACTGGATGACCGCTAAGTATGGTGCCGCTTAATACAGGTTCGATTTTATTTAAAGGATAATAAACCAAAGGAATATCATTAAACACAATATCCTCCATTTGGTGCGAAATATGTTCGTTCGTTCACACTTTAAAGACGTGACTACTCATGTTTGCGGGAAACCCTTGGAAGTTTGGGAGTTGGCTTCGCACTCGCAACCAATATTTATGCATGCAAATTACCACCTGAAACCTGTAAGATTCATTATCTGCTTGGCGCGTCTTCTGGTTGTGAACAACTATATTCTATAATTGCTATGATTTTTAAGTTACGCTGCAAGCTCTGAGAAGCCTTTGATTTTATCACTAATTCCAATCAGCATACAACTTGGCTTATAGATAAATATTGACCTGCTGATTCAATTCGATGATAAAAAGTTTGGATCACCAAACTTGTTCTTTTAGTTACAGCCGCATGAAATCGAAATTAGGGTGTTTCTATGTAAGGGGCTGCAGCGTAGGTGTGGTATTCTAATTTATCAATCAAACGATCATAACATATTCAGAAATATTTAGACATTTCTTGACACCGTTTTCAAGGGAACACCGGTAAAAATGGGTGGTAGTGTCTATCCGTCAAGTAATTGGAATTAAATCAAATGTTAAGCCCACATAAGCTTCGTGTTATTTCCTGCTTGGGCGCATGTTTCTACGACAGCAGGAGGTTTAATGAAAATGGTTTTCACTACATTTAAAATAAACTTTTATTTACACTAAACGAAATTATTTACACTATAATACAGGTTTCGTAAATGTTTACAGTCAGATGAGGCGGTAGGTTGTTTTGTGGCGAACTGTCCTAGATCCCTATACCTCATCAAATCAGAAACAGAGAACTAAAAGAATGAATTTCCATAGGATTTGAATAATTGTCAAATTGCATTTTGAATGTGCTATTTTTTGATTTGACAAACATCCGTTTAGCAGCTTCTATGAAAAAAAAAATTTACACCCTGTTTAATCCTTAAACAGAATTGTACTCCTTAAAACTGTTTTCTGGACAGCAACAGGCAGCGGGGTTAAAAGGCCAAAATCTTACCCGCGCAAATAAAAAAAATCGTTATTATGCATGCTGGGAATTACTGACTGCTTGAATGAATTGAATGACGCGAGACGCGACATCGGGGCGGTTTACTTTATGACTCTTCAGTACATTGATGAGGTCGGATATTGTCGCACATTTAGAAGTTCCAAGTTTCAATAACAGCTTGCTGGTTGGACTTCCGTTTTCTCTTTTGTATTCAATCTTTAGGTGACGGAGTTCATCTCTGCAGATCTCAAACGCAGCACCCACTTTTTGCCAACCATAGCGATGTTCACCTTTGCGTCGCACGTCCAGTTTCTCTACCAGTAAGACTTCAAGATCTGGAGGTAGCTCGGACAATATGAGACCTGAAAAATTAAAGAAGTTTGTCGTAGTTGAAACTCGGATTTCCTCAGCAACCTGAAATCGTTTGAAGTCAACAGCAAGAGGCATTAAATCTGGTTAATATTTGATAAATGGCCCAGATGCGTATTCTTGTGAATTTCAACGAATGACATACGGTACTGATTCGATACAAAGCCTCGTTCCAATAAGCGCTGTCTCTCTATGAGGGGCTCCATCGAATTTGCTCTTTTTTAAAACGCCTAAATACCAATGAGTGGCCCCATTCCAATCAGCACTCCTATTCGGATAAGTGTCCCTATTCTGTTTCAGTAATATCACTGTTCGAGTACGATTACATTTTGATCAAACGTGGCTCATTTTCCTCCAATGTCCTCATTGCAAAGACAGTGGTATTCCTCTCAGTCTTTCTATTATGCTGACGTGAGTGCACAGTTCCTTTAGGCAAATGAACTGGTCTTCAAATTTTGCAGCGATTACTTGGCTGGTCGATCTGCCCAGGAATAATCAGGAACAAGAAGTCCATTTTCCAGTCTACCTGATTTTTTTTGGATCAAGCTTTGTTTCGCGCATACTGCTGTATTTCAAAAAAGAAATAAGCGCCCTGTCTCTAACAAGCGCCCTGTTCTGAATAGGGGCCCTCCCTTAAGGTACCATAAGTCAATAAGCGCCTAGGCGCTAAATCAAATCAACGGGGTAGTAATGGGATATATTTATAACGCAGATGCAGCCACTCACCTTTAAGATCATCTGGAGAGGTAGACAGGTCGGTTGAATTCTTTACGTTTAAGTGACCAGCATCGTCAGAGGAGTACGACATTTCTATGAAAATAGTGAACAAAGTAAACGAGTTAGATGAAATAATACGCAAAGTTGACGCTCTATGTGAAAAGATATTTAAATGATTTCGTGTGCAATTTAGAACCAATAAGCAAAATCATTTATTAATGTACACAGATGAATTTTGTGACCGAATAAAGATGTGTATAAAAAGAAAAAGGACACAAGATTTATGGGTGTTTTTTTAAGCAAACACAATGCGGAATTAAGTTCCTAAAAAATAATTACAATACACATAATGATTTTTCGCCCACCTTCAATTGACTCTGCGCTCTTTAATCTCTGATAGTCTCGGCAATCCTTATTCCAAATAATGTGTCTGACACTATTCAGACGCCACACCACAAATCCAAGCAATATGGAAATTATGACAAGCACAACAACCGCCACACATTCGACCCACGGAAAACCACTCAGCACATAAGTAATGTTTATAATCTGAGATCCCCAGGTGGCGTTAGATGTTTTTCCATGCAACTCTTCTGTGTATGATGTTGTGAAGTGTTTTGGCCTTTTCGATTGCTGTATCAACAGTTTAGGTCGTCGTTTCCTCTCCCAACGCTTAACCGTATACGGAAGGGAATTTGAAAGGTTTGTAAGTTTGATCCCCTCCGTAGGCAAATGAGTTTTCCTTGGTATCCTCTTAGTGGCGTGAATTTCAATTGGCACACACATCACAATGGTATCGAGAGTCACTGTTCTGCCACATGGCGGAGTAAGCTTCATGCCGGTACCACAGGGATGGCAGGGCTGACATTTCATGATGGTACTATCATTGCCGATCAACTTGTAATTTCCTGGTGAACACGTGTCATTAGTTCCTGCGATATGGTCTAGCCGCCACCACAACCATTGCCACAATACCTCGTTCTATAAACGGAAGGATGAACAAACAATTATAGTATTTTCCATTCGACTGACTGTCACAAGTGTTCGCATTTAGCTCCTAAAGTGTTTTACAATACAGGTTACACTGAAGATGAAACCAACGGCGAAATTACAGGTAGTTCAGGAATCTGAGCAATGATCATTTGCATGCTAAATGTTTGTATCTAAGTGTAAATAAAGACGTGGATAACCTGTTCCAACCAAGTTTAACCTTAATACTTCAATAAGACTATCAGGGTAAAGGGACGATGTCTTATCCAGCAATGACCCCCCTTCCCCCTCCTTAAGTCAGGAGGAGTACTTATCAAATTTATCAATAAAGGGCAAAATAACTGAGCGCTGATTGGTTGAGAGAGAGGGCATTTTTTTCTTAATCGAGGGCATTTTTAGTAATCAAGAGAGGGCATGATTACCTGTTAATGATTGGCTAATCCGCTGCATTGCTAATCCGTTGCTTCCCAGATAAAAATAGACTGCGCGCGTGATTTTCCTTCGTATAAATTCTGCCCTTTATTGATAAACAAGTAATCCCATGAGACCTCGTACTATTAAGGATTAATTGCACTTGAGTTTTCAAAATTTTCCAAATTGCCCTCGTCGCTTCGCGACTCGGGCAATTTTGGAAAATTTTGAAAACTCTCGTGCAATTAATCCTTAATAGTACTTGGCCTCATGTGATTACCTATACTAATCGGTTCTTAGAATGATACCATGTGTAAGAGTAACTATAGGTGCATTTTGAGTAATCAACATCATCGAATTGCGTATGACCCCAAACTGTGGAAACAACCGAAAAAAAATGGCCCCAATGGCCCCAATGCCGCTACAAAAAAATGCAATAACAAGCACTTCCACTGAACACTCCACAATTAGATTTTAGAAGTATTTATTAAATATTTATAGTTGTGGGAGACTGACTTACCAATATCAGCACTACCACGGCAAACAAGAGAAGCACAGCTTTCCATCCTGGAATCGCCATCAGCGTGGATGTTTCGTATTCTAGAGACAATTAAAGCGATTCGATTCTGGAACAGAACAGTTTTGAATATATTTGAGTTAAACTATATATATATATATATCTCTGCAAAGCTTTAAATGACACACATGTCCGGAGTGCGATTGTTGCCATTTATCCTCATTCACTCCACGACTAATTTAAGCATCTAACCCATTATACATGTGCTAAGCTAAACTTCCTCGATGTAAGCCATGGTGATCAAGTGGTCACTGTTGGAACACATGATATTGAAGAATTGCGTGACATTCTTTCCCGATGGCTGCGAAATCATTACAGGGTTACTCGCATATGCCCAAACAAGATGATGATATTCACGAAAAAACTTGAAAATTGCAACTTGTGTTGTGTGATCGCTTTCGCTCAAAAAGATTTTTCGCACAAAAACGATAGGGGACGCTGTAGACGAATACTCACAGCTCCGTTGAGCCGAATCACAGACGACATTCATGTCTATGTTTGCATTTTATCAGATTGAGTGTGTCATGTAGGAAAACATTATATATTTTAACCTTAAAATGATTGTCATACCCGTGTGCTTCTTGCGTGACCATTTTAATCGCTACTCTCAAGGACACGCAAATGTCAGCTCATGATAAATTAATGACCCTTCACTACCGTTCACTTGAACCCCATGCCGACAGACAATTGTTTACAATGACATTGTAAACAGCGAATATTTTAGCGCTTTATTTTTGGAAACCAAAAGTAGAGGCACGAGGAAAACATGGCGATTTTGTACAGATATGGATAGTGCAAAAGCCCAAAAACGTTTCTGTTTTAGATTATGATCAAAAGTTAGAAGTTTCGAGTCGAAGATTAATTACATCGTTTTCAGTGGCCAATCAAATAACGACACGCGAACGAAAAGTAAGCTCACATGCTTATGCGTACAAACTTAAGAGCTAAGGAATACTGCAGTAAAAAAAAGTCACGAATTCGACTATCCGCCCTTATTTGGCAGGTCGTTTAAGCTTTGTTTTGCCTTAAGCAGTTTCCTAGAAGGAAAGAACTGAAAACTTAAAAAAATCAAACTGCGCCGTTTCCATGT